CGTTGGAATTCGAGGCTGACGAAATGTCGTCCCAAAAGTATAACTTTTTCCGCGATTTCCGATCAACTCGCTCAACCGAATCATTAGCACACCTTAATTCCTACGACTAGACTGAGTTCTTCCTTACTTCGGATGTAAATGTTTGCACTGCAAAACTGTACGAAATTTTGGATCCGCTTATTTCTCGTTTTGGCCCCCGTAAGAAAATTATTAATTTTGGGGATGAGATTTTCCTACCCTTACCCTTTCGTCGCAGATTGCGCAGACTTTACCGTCGTTTCCATCTGCAGAACGATGTTTCTGTTCTGCCCTTGATTTGTGATATTTTTGATCGAGCTAAGAGATTGTCGGGAGAAAAACAGCTAGCCGAGGAGGTCCACTTTACCGAAAACCATTCGTTATGTGTCTCGAAACTTTTCTCTAGAAAAATACGAACACAGAGAAAGACGCAGTATCCCACCCTCCGAGACGATCTCGGAAATCCCATAGTTGATGCCCAGTTAACCATGGATAGCTTCAATGATTACCTGTCCAAAACGTTTATTGAAGACTTGACCACTGCGCTTCCGACCATCCAGTCATTGACTGGGGCAGTTCTAGAAACTATAACTTTCACTCTGTGGGATGTGACTGTTGCTATTCGGCGTTTTCGTCAATCTTATAGTCCAGGCCCTGATGGTGTCCCTGTAAGCATTTTAAAAGCCGATGCAAACACGATCTTCCCATCCCTCTTATGCAAGATATTTAATCTTGCTCTTGAAAGTGAAACTTATCCTACCTTGTGGAAGGAATCACACAATCTGCCCATTCCTAAGCACGGCAAATCTACATCATTTGATGACTTTCGGTCAATAAACACCCTCCCCGCAGTTTCGAAGATCTTAGAGACCTTTATCAAGGATAAGATGATGTGCCACTTAACGGCGAATAACTTACTGAGTGCTGCTCAGCATGGATTCCTCAAAGCTCGATCTTGTGACACCTGTCAACTCTCTTTCTTTGACTATGTTCTCCAATCTAGGGACAATGGTTTTGCTCTTTGCACAGTATATTTCGATTTCACTAAGGCTTTTGATCGAGTTGACCATGCTCTTCTTCTCTTAAAACTGTCCTCTTTCGGAATAGGTGGCAAACTTTTACATTTTATATCCTCTTAATTGGGCACTCGCACACAACGAGTTAAGATTTCCAATACCATCTCCAACCCCACACGTGTGAGGAGTGGAGTCATTCAGGGTAGTGTACTCGGCCCGCTTTTATTTTGCCTTTTCGTTAATGATGTACCCGATTTACTTCAGAATGGTAAGCCTTTCATGTATGCCGATGATCTCAAAGTTGCATATCGATATCAGCCGGCAGATCATGACATCGTGCTTGAGCTCCTAAAGAGCGATCTACAGGCTTTCGCCCACTGGTGCCGCACATGGCGCCTTTCTCTTTCTTGGCATAAGTGCTCAGTCAAGGTGGTTGGCGACGACCGCCAACTTCAACTAAGTATTGAAGGTCACGCCATAAATGTGCCTGGAGTTATTAAGGATCTGGGCGTATCATACTCCAAGAGTCTCAATCTCTCGGAACACTGTGCCTTGATAGTCTCCAAAGCACGTAAAACGACCGGGATTATCCTCCGAAATTTTAAAACTAGGGACATTAGAATGCGCCTCTTCAACATGTACGTTAGACCTGGTCTGGAATACTGTTCGTTTTCATTTAGCCTCATGCGTGCTACTGAGCGGAAGAAAATAGAATCCATTCAACACTTTTTTACCAAAAGAATTTTAGCCCCGGAACACCGACATATGTCTTACCAAGAACGTTGCCGGCTTACAGGCCTCGATCCTTTATAGAATAGAATAAGTTTATTGTAGCGCCCCTTGGGCACTGTCAGTCCCCTTTGAACTCAGGAAAAAACCTAAAACAAACTCGTCAATTTCAACTGTACTTTGACTTTATTTTCTTCGGGTGTCTGGTTAGCCAAAAGAGCGCGAATTGAGAGTTTGTTTTAAGTTAAAAAAAAACCTCAGTTCTAAGGGAAAATAATAAAAAAAGTTTCAAAAAATAACGATATGTACAATATAAAAATTGAAGTTTGCAGTTTGGTAGTTTTCGGGGACATGAATAATATGTCCTTCATGGCAATTGAAGAACTATGATATTGGCCTAACCTTGAAATTATTTTCCTGTTGGGCAAATTTCGGTGTGCTCTAGTTGCTGGTTGTCAGTCTGTGATGGGAAACTCGCCATGACCACTCCCTTATTATAGTCATATTTCTCTGTTTGATCTTAACTCATTGTAGAAACCGAAGAACCAATCCCGGGCGAGGTCTCAGAAGAGGACGCCTGATTGGACAATGAACACCGGTTTCCCCCGTGGCGTGTGCGGTTGGATCTTCTGGCTGCCTGCTTGTGTTTCACTTCTTTTCTTCCTCTTGAGCACTCTTGTTTCTCGTTCCCCCTTCGCTCTTCCGCTATTACCGTTCTCTAATAAACACTCTCCCTCCTTCGACGAGATCTTCTGATTTGGAACGGTGTTCTGCCTGCTTGCTTGCTACAAAACTGGTGGCAGCGGTTCTTCTCCATGTCCCACGACCAGGCTACCGCGAAATCAACCAAAATGCCCGCCAGCGTGGACGTAAGAGAGCTTTGCCAAGCCCTTACGTCTGTCCTGGAGACTAGGCAATCCTCCACGGACACACTGCCTCTGTTGAAACCGGGGGATAATTTCGACGTTTGGTACTCCCAAGCGAACGTTCATTTGGCCTCCATTGCGGCCAAAGACCGTGCGCGGTACATATGCCGCCACCTCTCGACGGAGGCACTAACAAAGGCCTCTGCTTTCGGGGTCAAGTTCGACACCGACGCGGATTCGCTGTTGAGAGCCCTTCGGCGCGTTTTTGCAACGCCCAAGCCCCCAGTGGACGCATACAGGCATTTCTCGTCCCGTCTTCAGCTCCCTGGGGAGAGTGCCAGAGATTTTTTAGGCTGTCTTCGCCCTTTGGTATTGGCGGCCTTTCCTGACCAGCCAGCGAGCCTGACTGATGTTGTTCTGGCTGCGCACTTCCGCGCTGGGTTATTGGACGATAACCTCCGCCGGAAATTGATCAAGAAGCCCAACTTAGCGTCGGAGGCTCTCTTAACCCTGGTGCAGGAGTATGAGGAATGCTACGGTCCCTCAGTCGCCATGCCATGTTATTCCACCTCAGTCGCCCGGAAACGGCAGACTCGGTCAGTGACTACCCAGACATTCCGGAACTTCACACGTCCATTCCGAGGTCGCCAGGCTCGCGTCGCACAAATCTCCAGTGAGTCCTACACCGTTCCTGCTGTTACATCTACCTCTGATTTTCCTGCTCCCATTGTTAACGCAACGGTTGTAGACAGACGAGTGGCAATTCTTGTTGACACAGGGACAGCGTGCTCTTTGCTAAACCCCCAGGGTTTCACCCGCACCTGGCTACAACAGACCGAAATTTCCCATAGACATCCCCGTATTGTAGCGGCGAACGGTATGCCACTTTCCTGCTCCTCACTAGTCGACGTGCCATTTCGCCTGGGCTCATCTGAGTTTACCCACCCCTTCTACGTCTGTCCGGATATTCAGTGGCAGGGTATTTTAGGCGCAGATTTTCTCTATGCTAACCGTTTCTGCGTCGATTTTGCGGCCGGTCAACTCACCTCTAAGTCTACTACAATCCCCTTTTATTTTCCCCATGCCCCTGACCCCCAGCTGTTGTGCGACTCAGTCGGGCTCCACCCTCCCCAGCCTTCCGACCTGGTACATTTGGTTCCCGACTCTCCCGGGTTCTCCCCTGAACAGATCACCGCTGTTCGTAACCTTATATTCAAAAACTCCGCTGCGTTCGCATGGGATGTTGAACCCCTTGGTAGAACGAATGTATTGCAGCATACTATCGACACGGGTTCAGCTCGACCAATCCGTCAACCCCCCCGCCGCGTACCCGTGCATTTCCAGAAACAGTTAGAGCAAACGATCAAAGACATGCTGGACAAGCACGTCATTCGCCCCTCGTCCTCACCCTGGGCTTCTCCAATCGTCCTCGTTAAAAAGAAAGACGGATCTTTGCGATTGTGTGTTGATTACCGGAAGTTAAATGCCGTAACCGTCAAAGATTCCTTCCCACTTCCACGCATTGACACCACCCTAGAGGCACTCGCAGTAGCTGCATGTTTCTCCACACTCGATTTGCAGTCCGGCTTCTGGCAGGTGGAAATGGCTCCAAGGATAGGCCTAAGACTGCATTTTCCATTCCCTCTGGATTGTATGAGTTTGAAACTATGCCCTTTGGCTTGGCAAACGCGCCTGCTACCTTTCGACGTTTGATGGCCTCGGTCTTACGGGATTTATGCCCTACCGCGTGTTCGGTCTACCTGGACGATGTCATCGTACACGGGCCTACCGTCGAGTCCCACCTTGATAACCTGCAAACCGTCTTTAACCGTCTACAGGCCGTAGGCCTTAAACTGAACCCGGCTAAATGCTGTTTTCTCAAAAAGTCTGTTTCTTTCTTTGGTCACATCGTCTCAACTGAAGGGGTAAAGACGGATCCTGCGAAGACAGAGCAAATACGCAGTTGGCCGCAACCGACGTCAGTTTCCGATTTGCGCGGTTTCCTCGGTCTGGCCTCCTATTATCGCCGGTTCATTAAAGATTTTGCACACATAGCTGCACCCCTAAATCGTCTCACTAGCAAGCAGAACGCATTTAACTGGTCCGACGAGTGTGAGCGTTCCTTTGAGGAACTCAAACGGCGGTTGATCTCCCCTCCCCTGTTGGCCTTCCCCAACATATCCGAGTCAGCCCCACCTTTCATCTTGGACACTGATGCATCAGATGTAGCCATTGGGGCGGTCTTGTCTCAACAGCAAACCGATGGACTGGAACATCCCCTCATTTTTGCCAGTCAGACGCTCACCAAGCCTGAGCGTAACTACTCTACCACTCGCAAGGAGCTTCTAGCCGTCGTCACCTTTGTCAAGAAATTCCATCACTACCTCGCCGGCAAACGGTTCATTTTACGCACCGACCACCAGGCGCTGCGCTGGTTGGAAAACTTCAAGGATCCGACCGGTCAACTAGCTCACTGGCAGGCAGACCTCTTGGAATATTCTTACACTGTCATCCATCGGGCCGGTAAAAAGCACCAGAATGCCGATGCCTTATCTCGCCGAGCACAAACATCACCACCGACCGCAACATACGCCCCAGCAACTGCGATTACGTTTGGCACTCCCGACCACTCAGGGTGGGCGTCGGCTCAAGCTTCAGATCCCTATATATCTCTTATCTATGATCGGTTGCGTCAGGGTTCGCCAAAACCGTCAAGCGAAGAAATGAAGGGCTCCAGCTGGGAAGCTCGCTGCCTTTGGTCAGCGTGGAACAGCCTTCGCCTCTGTGACGGCGTGCTTTTCTTCAATATTCTCCCACCGACCCCCGTCGTTTGGTTTTGCCGCATGATGCGATCCATCCCACACTTTCCCGTCTTCATGTTGATCTGAGACACGCTGGTCAAGCTCGTACCGACACCGCCGCGCGTCAGCGTTTCTGGTGCCCGAATCAACGGCGGATCATTCAGGACATTTGTAACACGTGCCCTGTATGTGCCGAAGTCAAAAATCCCAACCCTTCACAACGCGCACCACTGCAGCCCGCTCAGGCGGGTTACCCGAATGAAATTGTTGGCGTCGATCTGATGGGTCCTATGCCCCCTTCCCCCAGCGGAAATCGTTATATCTTAGTTTTAGTCGACTTTTTCACCAAGTGGTGTGAAGCGGTACCCCTTCCACAAGCCGACGCCATCACCGTCGCTAAGGCCATCATTAGCGAGTGGATCTGCCGCCATGGGGTGCCTGAGCGGCTCCATTCAGACCAGGGTGCTCAGTTCGAGTCCCGGCTGATGGGAGAACTCTGCGAACTTCTTCATATTCGTAAATCTCGTTCTACCCCGTGGCACCCTCAAGGCAATGGACAAGTAGAGCGCACGAATCGGACTCTCAGAGGTTTGATCCAATCTTTCGTTAACGGTTGCCCTGGTTCCTCTTGGGATGCCGCCCTCCCTCAGTGCCTTCTTGCCTACCGTTCCGCCACGCACTCCTCAACGGGTCATACGCCGTTTGCCCTTATGTACGGCCGCGAAGTCCGTCTTCCACTGGACACTTCCTGTCCCCTCCCACTTCCGTCCCCCGAACCTCCCCACGAGTTTGTGCTAAACCTCCGAGCTAACCTACACCGTACACACGAGCTTGCTCGCACCTATCTCTCTACGGCCCACCAGCGACAAAAAGAGTACTATGATCGTCGTGCGCACGGTGCACTTTACCAACCTGGCGACAAAGTATTCTGGTTTCAGGAAAGGTTGCCTCCTGGGTCAGCCGACAAGTTCTCCACGCATTGGATAGGGCCTTTCGTTGTTGTGGAAGTCCCTTCAGAAGCTCTTTGTATCCTCAGGGCCTCTGATGATCCAGAGGGTCCCACCTTTGCAGCTCACTTCAACAAGCTCAAACCATACGCCCTAGAGGATGGCTCTTGCGGCCCTGTCTCTTCGGAGTTACCTTCATTCCTCTCGGCGGAGCTGCCGCACCCTCTCACGGATCCCTCTTCAATCGTCTCCGTCCCCACTTCTCCTCCCGCTCCAGCAGTCCCTACGTCCCCCACTCTCCCCAGTCCTCTGCCCCCGTTAGTTTCTCGTACTGTGGAAGTCCCTCACGAAGGTGGTTTCGGCATCCCGCTCGACAACCTTATCCCCGATGGGACATCGGTCCTACAGGAGGGGGCAGTGTGATGGAAAACTCGCCATGACCACTCCCTTATTATAGTCATATTTCTCTGTTTGATCTTAACTCATTGTAGAAACCGAAGAACCAATCCCGGGCGAGGTCTCAGAAGAGGACGCCTGATTGGACAATGAACACCGGTTTCCCCCGTGGCGTGTGCGGTTGGATCTTCTGGCTGCCTGCTTGTGTTTCACTTCTTTTCTTCCTCTTGAGCACTCTTGTGTCTCGTTCCCCCTTCGCTCTCCCGCTATTACCGTTCCCTAATAAACACTCTCCCTCCTTCGACGAGATCTTCTGATTTGGAACGGTGTTCTGCCTGCTTGCTTGCTACAAGTCTATCTGGCCAGCTGTAAGGGGGCGGTCGCACAGTTCCTGCGTGTTTTTAAGGAGGTTTACCATCGTTGTCTGGACTAAGAGTTGGAAAAGATGAATATGTATCAGGAGTAAGGAGCATTCAATGGTAAGTCACAATCAAAACTGTCAAAATACTATTGAATCATGTATCATATTGTGCTTGTTAATGTGAAATTATAGGAGTAGTGGTCGACTATTTACTATGACCTAATATGGTTCTATATATGTTTAATATGGCTTTAATACAGACATACGCACGACTAATCTGCAGGGTTTTATCGAAGGGTATATTTTTACTAGCTTTATAAGGGATATTTAGTGTCGGGTGACATAGCTGATGACAACGAAAAAGGGAGGAAAATAAAAGAATATCATTATCTGTTCTATGTTTATCAATGATGCTATCTTTTATAAATTTGATTATTTTTAGTGCTATGTTCCGGTATTTTTCAATCGGCTGGCCTCATCAGAGCCCTTTTGGACCAAATTCAATATCAAAGAATTGACTTGAAAAATGTCCTATCTTATTCAAAAATAAATGTGTATTGTTATTTGAAAGGAATTTCTTAGTTTTTATTTTAAATTCGATTAGGGTTCGACTTTTCCGGATAGAACTTGGAAGAGAATTCCAGATAGTCGCATATCTTATGGTGTAGAAATTTGACCGTTGGGACTTTGTGAATTTGGGAATCCTTATAATAGCCTCGTTATTTCTGGTGTTTCTAGGGGCGTTTTGGTTGGTAAGTAAATTCATTTTGAGAATATCTTGATCGTGGGTGACCTTGAATAGGAAGTTTAGACCATTTTGAAGTCTTCTGATCCAGAGTGGTCGAAGACCGTATTTATGATATAGTTCTAAGTATGAACCCTTGATGACATCACTTCTAGACACAGATCTAGTAAAACGTCTCTGAATGCCTTCTAGTTTCTTTTGGCCGTCTGAGGGCATTATGCCGAAGAAAACTGAACAGTAATCTAGGAGAGGTAAAACATACATTTTGAACAGTTGTATTCTTACTGCATTAAAGGTGAAATCTTTACATATGAATCCACACAGGCGGGTGGCTTTCGGTGATATCTGTTGGACGTGGGGAGATAAATCAAGGGTATTTGTATAGCTGAGACCTAAATCTTTTACCGATTGGGCCTCTGCTATTTCATTATCCTCGAAAATTATGGGGGGAATTTTTTGTGGGCCAAATATCAGGAGATGGCATTTTTCGGGTGAAAAGGGCATCTGCCACTGACTACTCCATTCGCTGAGTTTTCTGAGATCAGTTTCAATTGTTCTATGAATATTGGATACTGTATTCCCGTTATATGCATATGCAATTTTAAGGTCGTCCGCATATAAACACGTCTTAGCTGAGACAGATATGGACGATAAGTAGTGAATATATATAAGAAATAGGAGGGGGTCTAGGATAGATTACAAAAGGGACTATTTTTGCTATTTCAACTCTTATATAATCACACATTTAACCCACTCACCTCTTTAAGACATCATATCCACCCACGACGTAACAGTCACCGTGAGGTCTTCTTATTTCTGCCTCTGGCACGTACTGTTAAATATCGTCGGTTCTTTTCTGTAAATGCAATTGCTATTTGGAATAAACTACCCATGAGTTTGAAAATTCTGCAAAATTATCCTTTATTTAAGAGAACTATTACTCGATTTTTGCATTCAGAAAAGCTCCCACAAATTTTGGGTGCTGAAAACTCTCATCGACTGTACCGTAGCGATGGCGTTTGTGGTCTCTGAACACTATGGCCGGTCTCATTAGCTGTTCCTCAACGCCTCTACTTTCGCTATCCCCAACTTCATGAAAGGAATTTGACGTCCGATAAACTCCGATACCGTGCAACCTCCCCCCTTCTTGACGGTCGATATTCTACCACCGCCAGCAGTTTTTTCTCCTGAGCCCTCCAAACCATAAAAACCACCATCAACTATATTTTTATCCCTTTAGCTGAGGAGTTTTTTTTTCACTGCTGGTCGGATTTATGTTTAATCGCTTCCCTTGACAATGCCTGTAAACTGGCATTATATAAAAATTTATATATTTATATTTATATAAATAGCAACCTTAAGAAAGAAATCAACAGGAATCACAAATTGTAGAGAAACTCCTGCGTCACTAGACAAGTTAACACCTACAAGACACAGAGAAACAAACTGAGGAACCTGATCATGAAGACGTGACGGGAATTCGAGAAGAACTTGATACATAAAGCAACTTAGAACCCAAAAATACTCTACGAAGATGGTTGGGGGTCAAAGCCCCTTTCGTTATACAACCCGCCTAGTAAATCTGAACCTCTTCCCTTTGAGTTACAGGCCACTTCGCGTGGATCTCTTGCAAACATTCCGCATTTTAAAGGAGCTGAATTGCAGTCTGGCCTTGGAAGAAATTTTGAATTTGCTACCACGACCAACCTCGAGGTCATCCGATTAAATTGCGCACTCAGCAGGCAAGGCCGGATGTGCTGAAGTTCTCCTTCTCTGTTCGATTGGAAAACCATGAAATGCCCTTCCTGCAGACGTTATGATGCCACCATCTTAACAAAGCTTTAAAATAACCTCGACCTGTTCATACCCTGAAATAACCAAGAGCGATGAGAGATCGAGCTCATCCCTTGTGACTCACTCCCATTTTGTCCTACCATTATTGGCTCACTTGAATTATTTCGGCCCAGAGCCTTTTTCTGTAAACCCCACATTTTTACGTTGCAAATAGGGTACTCAAAGGCTCTTGTCCATTCCCCTCAATAACTTGAACTGAACTGGATTGAAATACACAGTACAGAACATGCATCTTGCTGATAAGTGTTCATTGGTCTGCTCGGCCAGTTGATGTTGTGGTTGATTTTCTGTGCACGTGTACATTCAACTACACAATAGCTGATGTCGAAAGTCTATCTTCCGCTAGCGAAAATCCGCCCGTTTTAGTTAAGTTGTTTTCACTAGTTGACGTTTTTCAATATCTGCCCACCGAGATCATGTTTCTCTGAATCTGAAAAACGCAAAATTTTTACTTTTGCATGATCTTACTCCCGTGGAACGAAGAGCCGGCTCGCATATCTCACGTAAACCCCCTTGTCTTAAACAAATGTACACCAACTCATTCATAACACAAGAAGCCGTGAAGATCCACCTACTCCTACTCCTGAGAAATCTGACTCCCTCCTCCCCTTTAATCGTACACCGCCCTCTCATTCAAGCTACTTAACGCATTCTTCTGCCCTCAAATAAGCGGCAACCCCAGTTTTCGTCCCCCAGCTAATTAACCTAAACTTTTATGGGTTCGAAGACTAGAAGCAGGCTTCTGTCTCCTCCTCCGCATTAATAATAGTTCACATTTTCCTCG